TCTGCGCCGCACTCCCGGTCGAAATGACGCATGAGGCAACCCTGGGCACATGGGTCGGGCATCAAGACGAGGGTCGGACATTGGACCGTTCTCGCCCGCCCGACAGGCAACTTTAACGACAACAGATTACCAGGGCACCCTGATTTTGAAGAAAGAAAAGTCACAGGATTGATCATTTGATTCGCTGTGTGTTCTACTCGCGTTCGAAAATGTGAGTCACGTTGCGCAGCTTGTGCTGTGGAAAGATGGCTGTCAGACGGTGAATCGCGACAGGCCTTGCTTTGGCTCGCAGTTGGCTTGGACGATTCTGTGAGCTGACACTGAGAGCACCTCGCCCCCGTCGGATGCCTCTGTGGCGTCCCAATGATATCCAACGGCACGGCGAGCCTAACTTTGAGGCTTGGTTTTCATGAACGGGACTGGCTGGGTGTGCGCACCGCGCCTCATACCTCCGTACCCTTCAGGGCCCCGATAGCAGCCTCAGACTACTGGTCAGTTTGGCCCACGCGTCGGGGTGGCAATCGCGTGTGGCTGGCCATACAGAGGCCCTCACACTGATGGGACGGCATCTCAAGGCATCAGCATGTTCTGCTGCGGTTCTTAGTCAAGCTGAGATTGGACAGCTTGCTGGCCAGGGAGCTTCCGATCATCAATGTTTGGATGGGTGAAGTTTGAAAGGAGATGATCCCGCCACATTCGTTGCAGGAGTGACTCCTTGAAGTGACCCCTATTGCGCTAGGCAAACGACTGATGCGTCGAGATCAGTAGGGTATCAGCGTGACACCCTTAAAACCTCTGGTAACTATTCCATACACCATCACGCGCATTCACAATTGACATGGGGCACACGGGCACAGTAGCTTACAGTCATGTGAACAGCACTTACTGTTCATCAACGTTCAGTAATCACTAAGGGAAGAAATACATGGTGCGAGTGTAGAGGAGGCAACTTCCAATCGATAGATGCTCACTTGACGGGGCTGCTGCCTACGCTAGGTCCTTGGTGTCATCAACTCCTCTGTGGCGGATAGCAGTCTTCAAGTTGCCTTAGTTATTGCCCGTGACTGCACCCCAGATCCATGCTGACCAGCTGCCCAGCACGTACACCATGAGTGCAGCGAAGCAAGTCTTGCTGATGTTCCTGCTCAGCTTACCGGCCGGGCCCTGGAACCTTACCTTCCTCTCGTTGATTATGTCTCCGAACCGAATTCTTTGCTTTCGCGTGAACTGCAGGATCCGAAGGTCGGTGGCCCAGAAGGTTCCAAGCAACATCGCCAACGAAATGACCGTCGAGGCAGCAGCGAGGAATACGTAGACGACCGTTACGCGGCGGTAGGAGTTGTCATCGGCATCTTGAATGACACCGGTGATGATACGGATAATGATGTTTGTGCTGGATCAAATGGTTAGTTGACTCAAGCCGGGATGGGGTTCCAGACAATGATGATATCCACATACGCATTGTTCATTGTCACCTTGGCAGCATATGCTGTACCAAAGACGTCTTGGTATATCATACTGGTTCGGATTCCCTCAATGATGGTGACTGGGCCGAACGTCTTGAAAATGGCGTAGAATGCGTACGAGGCTGCGGCACTGCTGGTTGTTGTGCCCCAGTTGATGAGTCCCATCGCCAGCAGCATGCCGGTGCCGCAGATCGCCATCTGTGTTACACGATGCCCGTAGATGTCGATAACTGCACCAATAATCGGGCTTAAGAAGAAGCCTGTGATGCCGGATCAGTCTTGCTCGATGGGATGTGTGGATAGCAGTCTTCAAGCTTACCAGCATACTGAGACAGAGAAGCGTACCAACCGGCGGCGACAGCATCCACTCCAAAGCGGTGCTCTGCCAACTCGGTGGCGTTCTGAGAGTAGACGTTGGAACAGCTCGTCTGCACCATGGAGAAGAGCATGATGGACCAGAACGTCCAGGGAAGTTCGAGAATCTTGCGGATCTGAAAGTCCTTGCTCTTTTCGACAAGTTCTTCGCCCGTGGCGGGATCGGGCGGTGCCCTGAAGCGCCTGTGTGCGGTCTTGGTGAATACGTAGAAGACGAGTGTGCACAGGTTCGTAAAAACGGAGACGCATGCCCCGATCCAGAAAACCCAGGCGAAGTTCCCGGTGTTCTGCAGACTGGTTATTGGGTCCGTTTCTGAGCAAGACGTTAGGTTAGAGGGTATTTACCTTGGAGATGACGTTGGCTGTTGAGCTTCCTACAAAGCCACCGATTCGAGCGATACCAATCTGAAGGCCAATGGTCGTGCCGAAACCACCGCCAGGTGCAAACCATCCGGAGAAAACTCGATAATACGCAATCTGCGTAGCGATGTCTCCCAACGCCGCGGTGACTTTGCCGAAAATCATGAGAGGGAAGGACCTGCCCGTCGCGGCGCCTGCGATGATCAGAGCTCCCGCAGTCATGACCAGGTTACCGTAGAGCATGGCTCCTACACCAGTCTATTAGCGACCAATCCTTCGTAGTTGGACTTGTGAAGAATAGAACATACCAGCGCCGCCAATCCGGTCCGTCACGACGCCGGACACCATGATCAAGGCCGTGACGAGGAATTCTTCACTGGCCTCCAGCAGTGCGAACTGGGTGTTGTTGATGTCGAGTTCCTTCTTGATCGTGCTCTTTAGCGACGAGGTCAGCCTTGCAGACCAAGAAGCGCCAAAGCTGATGAGGCAGATGAGCAGAACCGAGCCGAGCTTCCAGCTTCTTG